CCAAGATGACAACAATCACATCGATTTTGTTCACCATGACATTCTCCATGCTTACAGAACTGGATTTAGTCAATAAATACGTGTTCAACAAATGGATGAGGCCTCTCCTCTCGGCACTTTCATACTGTGCTCTTCTAATTTTCCTTCCACATCTCTGACTTTTTCTCTTTTGTACCTTCGCTTCCCACAGTTTTATCTTTGGCCCCTGTGTAACTTTGGGCAAATCAAGTCCCTCACCCTCTCAGGATCAGTTTGTTGACTCATAAAATGATGGAGTTCCATCTCCTTTGCATATATAGTCCTACACTTACAAGCTAATCTTGAGTATTACTCACTGTCAAATTCTCCACCCGTCTGGCCAAACATTTCTCGCATACTGCATTTTATCATACCCAACTGGCCTCTGTCCAGAATGTCATTCCATTCTCAAACTCTGCATGTCCAGTTTGTGTAATCTCAAAGCTCAGCTCAAATGCCATTTCCAGGAATTTGTCTTCAATCTCTTAGAAGTCCTTTGCCTCTTTTAACAGAATGGGTCTCATCCTCCTAGATTTATACTTGTTTCTGCATTTCTTCTCCTCCCTGCTTTACTGTGTAATCCTAGAGGGCAGAGGTTATTTCTAAGTCATTTTCTACCTCCCACCTTGGCCTTGGCTCCTAACAGGCACTTAGGAAGCTTATACTGAATCAACGAGCATAGGGCATGACAGTCACCCTGCTTACGACCTTCTCATCAATCCCTATGTTTCTAGAAGACTGAAATCATTTCGGTAGAGCACTCCAGTTACACCAATTTTTGTTCCATTTCTTGCATTCACTATGCTTCTTTCCAACTAGGAAACTACTCTACCACCTCTGTCACCCCCCAGGTCAACCCCATATGATTCTGTATTCAGCTTTAATATGACATCCTCAAGGGAGCTTTACTTAAAGCCCAGGCTAGGTCACTTTCTTCTGTAATACACTGTCATACCCTCCCCCATACTTTTTCTTTATGGCATTTATCAATGGCTGAAATGTCATGGTTGTGTGATTACATGATTAATAGCTTCCTCTTGCACCAAACTACAAACCTCAAGCAAGAACCATGTCTGTTTTTCACACAGTTTTATCCTCTACGTAATACCTAACACATCACTGAATAGTAACAATAACAATAATAATAATAAATAGCATGTTGAACACCGGAACTGATGAACATCCAAGTTAGATATAAAGACTTGGGACTCGGAATGTGTAAAATCTTTGCCTGGCTTCCTAAAATCCTTTCAAAGTAAAAGTGGGATGCCAAGTAGCTCTCTTTAATAGTCAAACTGGCCTTCTATTCAGCATAAGAAATGTATAAAGTAGGACGGATACTGTCTGTTCAGTGCTGGAAGGAAGCCAAAACCACCTTCCTTTCCTATGTGCATGGTCCCATAAGTAACACCAAATGGCTCCTTTGTTCATTTAACAAATACCTATTAAGCATCCAGTCTACGCCATACAGCAGGTAAGTGAGTGATTCCACAATAAATGAAGCTGATACACCCCCTTCCTCTTTGGAATATATACTGTAGGACTGGAGTTTATAGACGCTATGAGGAAACTGGAAACTTTAAGAAAAAAAAAAGTTTTGGCAGCCACAACATCTGAATAACCTTATTCTATAAAGGTGTTAAGTTCTCCATCAAATCTGATACTGAATCTGAGAGGGAAATTACCTGGCGGAGGTAATTTAGAAATTATAGGTAGGCCTAATTTGGGCCTCCTAAATCAGACAGGCAAGTGGCCTAGATCAGGGCTGGGCATGGCATGGTCTGCAGACGAGTCCCTATCTACAAGCTTTTATGACCAGGCAGTAAAGACCTAAGTGAAGAAATTGGTAGTAATAACTTAGAAAATGTTATAGTAATTAGAAGAAATAATTTTGTCTGTTGATTCTACTAATAAAAATGTGGGCTTGTGTTCTATATCTTTTCTTTCATTTTCTAGTAGTATGTAGTTAATATATTTTACTAAAGCAAGTCTGTGACTACTAGGGGAAACCGGTCCTTCGCCGAGACGGTGTGACGAGCACTACACCAGAGCCGTGCTGCTTGAGGCGGCATCTGCACCACAGCAGTGGGAGGATCACTTGGCGTCTCCGTAAAGTGCAAATGCTCTGGTCCTACCCTAGACCCTCCAATCAGAATGAACATTTCACCAGTATCCCAAAGGATACGTGTGCACATTGAGTTTTGAGAGGCACTGCCTCAGATGATTTCCAAAACTCAGTATAACCCTGGGATTTTATGACTGACTTCAGGTAGAAAACTTCAGAACCAAATGACCCTTGAAGATACAGTCTGCCTCCTCACTTTATAGCTGGAAAAGCCGAGGCTCATGGAGGGGAAGTCATGCGTCTGAGTACCACCAGGAATAAAACCAGGTTTGCTAATGCCCAGGGTAACACCCAGGCTTGCTGTTGTCTCCAGTACACTGCCTGCTCTCTGTTTCACTACCAAGTCCACTGCGTGCCACGCCCTTCGTGATGCCTTTGTTTCTGAAATATTTTCTGATGAAACTGGTTTTTCTTCTACTATCCATGCCCTTATGAACCGTGAGTCCCCACTATTTCTTTTTTATCAGATTGCCTTTAATCAGGGCCTCTGAAATCTTCCTCCAAGCCTGTTGTCTGCTACCATATGGATATCCCGGGCTGTTAGAAGGACTAGCATCAACCAGTTACTGGGCTTTAGGAATACAAAGGAGACCTTTTTTGCCTCCAGCAGTCCAGGTGACATCACAGTCCAAGCTCTTCCAAAGAGGAGAACCTACTTTATCAGGGCTGCTTCAGAAAGCTCAGTAGCAGCACTTTGCAGCTGATAAACAAGTGGGATATTAGGCCATATTAGTAAAACTTTAGTCTCCAGAATAAATAAATGATGATCCTTCTTCACTTTGTGATCTTGCCAGACCTGAGGCCTGAGAGAGGGGGACATGATTGCTCTCTTTAAGTAGCTGAAGAACTGTTATAAAGAATAAGCAAATCTATTCTAGATAGTCCCAAGAACCAGTGAGTGGAAGTTAGAGGGGGCTAGATTTTGTCGGAGAATGGAGATTACTTTCTGACAATCAGACTGGCACAAAGAGCCACCTAATGAGCTCTCCATCACTCTAGGGAATTCAAATAGAAATCAGTCAACCAATTGGATGTTTAGAACAAATCCCAGGACTGGGTAGAGAGGTAGGGACTAATGACTTTTAGATCCTTCCAGATCCAAGCTTTTAGTATTCTAAATTTTTCAGTACACGGTGACACCAAGCTCTCAGGAAATAAAGGCAAGAGCTATTTCTAAGAGGTACAGTTTGAACTTGCGTGTGGAATACATGTGGCTAAGACAGTGGAAAAGTGAAAATTGTCCAGACATAATTTCCAAAGGAAATGGCCAGGGGACGTGTCCCAGGTAGCCCCTCCAAGAAGCCCAGGTGAGGTTTGCCCCCACAAAAGCCAGCCACCTGTCCCCTTCAAGTTCCTGTTACCCTTCCCAAAGGCTAGAGCATTACTTTCCAAAGAATCTTACCAAGCAATAGCATTCCCAGTGTACCTACACTTGCCTATTAGGAAAGGGTGCAAAATTCTCTCCAAGGAGTCAGTAAGACTTGATGCTTAAGGCTAGGGGTTTTGGAATCAGGGCTCTTGTGTCTTAATTCTCAACTGAGATATTTATTGCTCTGTAATCCCGAACACACTACTCATCCTCACTGTGCCTCAGTTTCCTCATCAGTAAACCGAGGACAATAGTAATATCTTCTTTGCTAAAGGTGGTGTAAAAATTCTGTGAAATAATACATATAAAACCCTCAGCCCAAGATCCAACACATATTTAAATACTCAAAAATGTTAGCAGTCAGCATTACTGATGCTCTAATGACTGTCAGGCATGCCAGTGCCACCACCTCAAGAAGCCCCTCTCAGGCAGCCACCTCCTTTCCCCTATGGGATCAGGAGGGCTACAACAGCTTCATCCAGCCCTTGTGGTAGCTCCAAATAACCAGAACCTGGGGGCTTTCAATAAGCCCCAACAGCCAGGAGGGGATCCTGGGTTCTCCCCTTGCTCTCTCCAGCCAACAGCCACCCCTCCCCCAGCCCTCCTGCCTATGCTACCAGCAGCCACAGCCAGAGAAGCAGCACACTGGGAAGCCAGCTCTAGACACACCATCAGGTGTTTTCTCCCTCCCAAGGACATCACTGGACCTAATGGGATGCCCACCAGTGGGAGGGGCCGGGGTATAGGAGTGCCTGGGCTAGGTGAGGTGGGCAGCTCACCTACCTGGGATTGAAGTAGGCAATCATCAGGCGTCCCTCACACAAGCCAGAAAAGCCTTCCAAGTTTGTGGAGGAACTCAGGCCCAGACCCACAGTAATCTTAAAGGAAGGGAGGAGGTCTCTACCTGCTTCCAAGGGAGCAGTTATTTACAACTTTCTACTCACCGGCCTCTGGGGGAGGGAGTGGGGCGACGAAGGAGGGGGCTGCATGTTCCTTCCTTTCTTTCTCATTTCCAGCAGTGAGATGCAGCTGCTGGGAAAGAGCTAAAGGAGGGAGGAGGCTCCAGCCATCACCCCATCCTCGGCGCCCAGGGCTGTTTGGGGTCATGACAGCGCTGTCTGCTCTGGCTAGGGGCCACTCTGTGGCTTTCTGCAGCAGCTGCCCGGCCCCCTAAGCAATATGCAAGGTCAGTGCTGACCTGCTTCCGAAGAGAAACAAAACAATTCACAGACAATGAAGCAAATGGAGCACATACCACCTCGCATCCCCCTTCCCCAAGCCAGGTTTTACCTCAGTGCCTCACTGCCCAGGTGCCGCCTCCGGGGCTTCCACCAGCCCCACTGGGGAACCCAGGATAGCAGCACAGCTGCAGAGCAGGTCTCGCCTCCAGACCAACCCAAGGAGACACTCAGCACGGGGGAGAGAGGCTATCGCTAAGGGAGACCTGAGCTTAGGGTAGGAGGAGAAAGCACCCTTTAGGTCTCTTACCAAGCGCCAGGGTCACTTCCGGAAGCCCCAGGAGAGGAGGATGAATGGAGTGAAACAAGTTGGAGACTGAGCCCCGACAGAGCTCAGCTGCTTGTCTCTCTCCGGATGTCTCTGGTCCCCTCGGTCTGTCTCAGCTCTGCTGCTAGCTAGCGCGCGCTCACGCTCTCCCTCTCTCCCGCCCTCTCTCCCGCTCCCTTTGCCTCCCTCCCTCTCCCTTTCCCTCCCTCCCTCCCTCCCTTTCGCTCTCTCTCTCTCTCTCTCCTTCCCCCTCCCTCTTTCTCTCAGGCCCTCCCTCTCCCCACCGCCCCTCCTGCCTTCCCCTCCTCTTCTCCCCCCTGGCTGGCTTAGGGTTCACCACTGCCTGGTGCTGAGCACGCGGTTGTGCTGGGGCTTGGAACACAGCCGCAAGGCTTTAGGTCTGTGGTGATTTCAGGAAAGACTAAAGTAGCCTTTTATTCTTTCAGGTTTCCAGCAGAGAAATAGAGGGAATCTCCAAGAGACGGGGAGGAGCAGGGGAACCAAGGGGAAGAGAGAGCAAAAGGATGAGAAGGAAGAGGAGGGAGGATAAAAGAAGTATGGATTACCGTGGCTGATGTGTGATGCTTACTTGCTTCTGCCTCCCTTCCTCTCCTCCCTTACATCCCTATGGGCGTGCCTTCTAACCCAGTCTCCAAAGAAAGCTTTGCAAATCTTGTCTGCTCAGGTTCCATCTCTGAGGATAATGACGAGCTAAAAGATGCACATCAAAGGGCTGTCATTCACACTCCACCCAGAAGAAAGTGTTCAGCCACACTGATCCCCTAATGACCTAACTTCCACCCAACCCCCTGCCAAGTGTGGACCCAATTCAAAACTCAGCTCAGCTTCCCTGTAGGCAAAACAGAAGCTGCAGAACGAACTACTTTCCATCTGAACAGTTCTGGAGGAGGATAGGTGTAAATGTGAGAGCCTATGCTTGAGTTTGCACAAGGGGAAAGAGGAGAGAGAAGGGGGAAAGGAGACTGATTCAAAGTGTGAAAGGCTTATCTCTCCATTTGGGCAACAGAATTAAAAGAAACCTGGTGAATAAAAAAGCAGAGTACAGTAACAAGGCAATGTAAAGTGGAAAGAGACCTAGACTAAGACTCAAATCTAGGCACATACTTTGGAGTCGTGCCTTTGCAAATGACAAGGCTGCCTTGGGTGAGTCACTTCTTCACTCTGTCCCTGGCTCTCCTCAATGGCTGACTGCAAGGAGATGAAAGCAAATGACCTTGCAAGACCCTCCCGTATCTACAACATACAAGACATGAAAGGTCCAAGGAAAGGAAGAGTTGACCCCTAGAAAAAGAAAATACACTACCAAATGTCAAAGGCTCTCCCAAAGATAAGCACCCAAATGGGACTCCAAGTCACAGTGATCTAATATTCTATTTTTAATACTTTAGGGGCGATATGAATGTGGGCATATGTGTAAAGAGCTCCTCCTATCAAAGAATTCTGCTCCTACTCATATATGACAAATAACAAAGCACTTTTTAAATTAAACCTTCATATTGTGAATTCCAGCCCAGGTAGTCAGAGAAACAAAAGGCGTCCAATTAAAAGTGAGTTATGCTGTGTATTTTAACTATACTGGCCTCAATATAATGCAGTAATTGAGACATGTAACCATTTTTAATTTTGCCCATGGTGTAGCATTTGTACTTAAACTGTCATTCTATTGTTTTTTCTCAATTCTTAATTCTCTCTATTGCTGTCCAGTGAGGAATATGTAGTACAAGTGCACAGTTCTTCAAAGGCTGTATCTATGTCTTGAGTATGCAGAGAGCTGCTGAGTTGAAAAGACCCCCAAAAACTTATCATTTCAATGTACAAAAACACAAACATGACTGAAGAAAAGATAAAAGTCACACAAAGTCATAGTAAGCAAGGGGTAGAATAAAGATCAACACCCACACTGCTGACCCCGCATACAGTATGTCTGTCTACCATAACAACATGCAAGTAGTGACTAAAGCATCACACACTCTTTCCTGCATGTGTGTGCATTTTCTGTGTTTCATTTTCATAAATGTCCACTGGGTTTCAAGAATTAATAAACCAGCAAAAGAAACATTATGGAATGGCCTAAGGCTGCTGTTTTAGCTTCTAGGGCTACCATAATTTTGGTAGTTTAAAGCAACAGAAATGTATTCTGTCACAGTTGCAAAGGCCACCAGTATAAAACCAAGGTGCCAGCAGGATCACACTTCTTCCGAAGGCTCTAAGGAGAACCCTTCTTAGGCTTTTCCAGCTCATGGTGGCTCATGCTACTCCTTGTGTGCTGCAGAAGCAATACTCCCATCTCTTCACTCTTCAAACTGTCTTTCCTGTGTCTCTGTGTGCCCAAATCTCCTCTGTTTTTTCTTATAAAAACACCGTAAGTCCAGGATGATTTCATCTTGAGACCTTTAAACTAATTACTTCTCCAAAGACGGTATCTTCTAAATCAGGTCACATCCTGAGGTTATGGGCAGACATGAATTTTGGTGGAACACTATTCAATCCACTACAGTTACTAACCTTTCTTTTTATACTAAACAAACAAAACATCTATGGTACTATCATTTTAAAATCATAATTAATGATTTATCTATGTCAGTTGTAAAGATTAGCAGGATTCCCTGTGGCATTTCATACGTGCAGATAGCATGCTTATTTGCATCCAGCCTCCCTAATTCCCTAATTTACCTTCCCCTTTCCATCCCTTCCCTTCTTGCCTCCTTCCTCTTCACTCCTAGGCGCTCTTCTACTTTCAGGTCCCCTGTTTTTGGGAGGGTGGAGCTTGTCTTGTTACTTTGCTTTTGTTTGTTTGTTTTAGTTTACACATCTAAGAGACATCATGCCATATTTATGCCTCCGCATGGGGCTTATCTCTTACCATGATGATCTCCAGTTCCATGCATTTTCCAGAAAATTACGTGATTTCATGTTTCTTTATGGCAGAATAATGCTCCACTGTGGATGCGTGTATAGCATGTGGTGCATACACATTATTTATTATACACACATTATATATCTGTCACAGTGTCTTTTCTTTACCCATTCATATGTTGATGACCACCTAGGCCAGTTCCGTATCTTGGCAACTTTGATTACTGTTACAATAAACATGGATATGTAGGAATCTTTTTTACACACTGACTTCCTTTTCTTTGTGTATATACCGAGGAGTCTTATAGCTGGGTCGCAAAGTAATTCTATTTTTAGTTTTTTAAGTGTATAGAGGATCTTTTCCCTCTACATCATCACCTCTAAAAAAAAAATAATAATCTGAAGGTGGCGAGATAATGGAATTTCAATATAGTTTTGATCTTCATTTTCTTGATGGCTAGAGATGTTGAACACTTTTCATATTTTTTTTGCTTTTTTTTGAGACAGGGTTTCACTATGCAGTTCAGGCTGGCTTTGAACTCACTTTGTAGCCCAGCTCTTTAGCCCATCTATTGATTGCATTATTTGTTCTTTTTTGTTGACTTTTTTTTAGTTCTTTATATATTCTGCATATTAACCCTCTGTCAGATGAATGGCTGCAAAGATTTCCTCCCATTTTGTAGTTTTCTCTTCACTCTGTTTGTTTCCTTTGCCGTACGAAGCTATTTGATTTGTTGTAATCGCGTTTGTTGATACTTGCTCTTGTTTCCTGGGCTATTGAAGTCCTATACAGAAAATCTTTGCCTATGCCAATATCTTGAAGTGTTTCTCCTATTAACATATCCTCTAGGTTTCTCAGTTTTACTTCTTACCTTAAGCTATTTGATCTATTTTTTAGTTCATTTTTGTACAGTATAAGAGATTGCGATCTCATTTCAATCTTGTGTATGTGGATATCCACTTTTTCTAGGACCATTTGTTAAAGAGACTGTCTTTTCTCAAACATGTATTTTTGGTACTTTAGTTGAGAATCAGGTGTCTGTAGCTTCTTAGGTATATTTCTGGGCCCTCTATTGTGTTCTATTAACCCACATGTCTGTTTCGGCCCAATAATATGCTGTTTTGTTACTATGGCTCTGCAAAATATTTTGAAATTGTAATGCTTCCAGCATTGTTCTTTTTCCTCAGGATTGCTATTTCAAGTCTTTTCTGTTTCTACATGAATTTTAGGGTTGGCTTTGGTAGTTCTGTGTAGAATGTCATTGGTATTTGATAGAGATTACATTAAATTTGTAGAGTTTTGAGAGAATATGGCCACTTTAACAGTATTAATTCTGCCAATCCATCAACATGGGAAGTCTTTCCAGCTTCTAGTGCCTTCTTCAGTTTCAGTTTTCAGTGATCTGAAATTTTTATTTTCGATGTCTTTCACCTCCTTGGTTAGGTTGATTCCTAGGTAATTTTTTTTTAAGCTATTGTGGCCAGAATTGTTTTCTTTATTTCTTTCTTAGGAAGATCATTTTAGGTGTATAGAAAAACCTACTGATTTTTGTATGTTGATTTTGTGTCCTGCTACTTTACTGAATTTACCTTCTCTAAAGATGTTTCGGCAGAGTCTTTAGGGTCCTATAAAGATAGAATCACATGGTCTGCAGACAAGGATAATTTTACTTCCTTTCTTTCTATTTGTATCCCCATTATTTCCTTCTGTTTCTTGATTGCTCTGGCTAAAATTTTAAGTACTATACTGAATAGGAGTGGAGAGAGTGGGCCTTCTTGTCTTTTTCCTGATTTTAGAGAAAATGTTTTTACTTTTTCCCCATTCATTGTGATGTTAACTATGGGTCTTTCACACATACCATAGCCTTTATGATGTTGAGATATGATTCTTCTGTACCTAGTTTCTTTGAGGCTTTTATCATTTGCATTGTGTCAAAGGATTTTTCTGCATCTATTGAGACGATCATGTGATATTTATCTAGATTCTACTTATGTGCTGAGTTGTACTTACTGCCTGGCCTGTGTTGAAATATCCCTGTACCCTTGGAATGAAACCAACTTGATTATGGTATATGATCTTTTCAATGTGTTGTTGAATTCAGTAATATTTTATTAATGATTATTGCATCTAAGTTCATGAAGGGTATTTTTCTATAGTTTTCTCTCTATGTGTTCTTTTTGTTTTGGAATAATATTGGACTCATACAATAAATTTGGAAGTGTTCCTCCCTGATTTTATGGTATAGCTTGAGGAACAAAAATATTAGTTCTTCTTTAAAACTATAGTAAAATTCAGCAA